ATGTTACCAATGAATGGTGATCGTCAGGCATTATCCCCTCAATATCAGGGTATGTCGACATATGCAGATGCATGTAGACAATCACCAATGGTTGAAGAACGGAAAAATCCTGTAGATAACCAGTTTGGCAATGATCCACAGTGCAATAATGCATTCTATAATTTTTTCAACTGAATGCATTTGTAATAAATTTTTGTCTCTGTAATTTTTTTCTTGAATTTTTGACCTAAAATAATTTATATTATATAAATATCAGTAATTAAAAAACAAAAAAATTTTTTAAAAAAAAAAACAAAAAAAAGATATTTGTATTATATTTATATTATCCTATTTTGAATAGTTTGTAGTGATTGTATTTTCAAATATTATATGAATATTTATTATAATATTATATATATAAACTTATTCATATAAAACTACACTTAATTTTAACAATTATTAATATGATATTTTGCGGATGAACAATTTCATGTTTAATATAGGTTTATGATCACCTATGAAAATACATTTAATTACAAAATTTCTTCTGAAAAATGCATGCAATAATAAATAGCAATTGTAATATTTTTCCGTGTAACTATTTAGGTGTTGTATATGATCGAATATTGGCTATCTTGTAAATAAATTGTATTTTATTGATTTTTTTCTGTATAATGAAGTATAAATGTATAACATTATTATTATTATATTATATAAATATTATAAACCTTTACCATAAAACTATGTACCTAAATATATATAGAATAGCATGTCAAATTACGGTTTTTGTATTTGTGTAAAATTATTATATATCTAAAAATAAACATAAAATATTCACTAGCAATATCGAATTTACTATGTAATTTATTTTTACCATACTACCTTTAATTTCCATACCTAAATAAAATGCTTCGTGCTTTAAGTGTAAAATAACAAATAAAATTGTCTACAGTATTGTAACTGGATAAGTACAGGCGTACAACCCATGCCCGGCACACGAAAGGTCGACGTTTTCAAGATATTGATGAAATAAAACACTATGTGACAATGCAGTTAAAGCAAGCTCGAAAATTTCCAAAAATTACTTTCAGAGGCACTTCCGAAGGACGCTAGACACTCACATGGTGAATGGACTCAGAATGAACTTACTTTGAGTTTTTGCAAGAGATTTATTTAAATAAACATTTTTTTTTTTTTGAACAGTACCGATTACGTATTGATTAGACCTTGTGACTTGCCTATCATAGTTATGCAGCAGCGAATCTAAAAATCTGAAATGGGGGAGAGGCTTTACTTTTTTCAAAAAAAAAAAAAAATACAATTATAGAAAACATTTGATGTCAATTTAGTAACAGTTTTACACTTTTACTTTTATTTTAAATTTATGGAATTTAAGACGAATGTAGATGAACTATAAATGTTATACATAAATACATACCTCCCTAATACATAACATTCCTTAAGGTCCTGTAGATGAGTAGTTCTCAAATGCTTATTGACTATCATCATAGCTGTATATAGAAGAGGAGACTCAGACCCCTCTACAGAATTATTGTTGTCTATTATTCCGTTTAGGTAAATGTAATTGTGTTTATAATATTGAACTTGACGAGATGGTGAATGATCATATAATACCTTCAGACCTTCTAATATCATCACATTTGTACCCAATTATTTATTATAGTCGTGTTTCACATCAGATCATAATAAGTTAGATTCTGAGCAAAATGAGTTGTTAGTGCTGTAGCATACGACTCGTTTAAACTTGAAAAATAAAAAAACAAACAACAACGACTAACGAGAGAGGTAATAATTATAATTCGGAACTGATTTCCGTCGGTCATTTGTCGTGTGTGCTCATTTTTAACCGGTTCTTTTGACAAGCACCCTAGAGTCCTTCGGCAGCATTCCTGACGAGTGTACCGTCCACTACGATGCCGGAGTACCAATGATGGTACCGTTTCTCGTCTATAAACCGTCTTCCTGCCGTTACATACCACGAAGAGCCCTTTGCACAAGTCAGTGATCTTCAACTTGTTTGTTTTCAAAGGCAGAGCATTTCCGAAATTCTCTTGGCATGATGAACCGATTGACTGAGGATAACAACAATAGCAAACGATAGTTGTTAGAACGAAATAACAACGCAAATCAAATACCTAAGTAAACCTCCGGGTTAATTGATTCAGCCGTGATTATTTTATTATTGTACCTATATTCGAATTTAAACGGAGTATATATCGACTCGAATAACGACTATTTCACTTAAATTTTCCCACCCCCACCCATTTCAATTCATAAACTTTTTCCTATCCCAATATTTAGTGCTCCATTCCTGCCGATTCCTGCAGCTCAATCACCGCGCCCCAAAAATTAAAAAAACAGGGTGCGACGGGGGAAACTTTAACCAAGTTAACTTTTGAGTATAGGTATTTGTTAGGTCTGAGAATAGAGCAGTCTATTTTTTAAACCGATTGATGTTAAGGGTGGCTTACACAAAATATTGTTTTAATATTTAACGTGTAAATTGTACCTGTAATAGTAATAATAATAATAATAATAATAATAATACTCTACGAGCGTACAACAACACTATGATTACCGAATATTAGTATCAATAATTTTTAAACGATAAAATAAATGCAAAACAGAGAAAGAAGGAAGATTTATTGAAAAAAAGTGAAAAATTCCAGCAAGACGAAATGAGGCCAATTTGAGCAGTCGAACAAATCCACTACGATATTACGAATGTGCGTGTGAGTATTGATCAATTGCGTAAATCTCAATCACAAGAAGCACGAGTTCAACCAAGTGAAGAACGGTTATTGGAGCAAAAACAAGCGGGTCGGTTCGTAATAAACACACTCAGAGTAAATGACCGACAACAAGTGCATCGAGCATTTACATCTGATTCGTTCCTTCGTCTGTCATTCAATTATGAGCCAGATATTGAATATTTATTACGCTCTATGAACAAGGAATATCCTACCATTGTCATGAGCTTAAATTTAAAAATGAGCCAGCCGGAATGTGTTGGAAAATAAGAGTTTTAGTTTAAACTTACTTAATTTTTGTATTATGGACATTTTTACTATTGACTAATGTGTATTAAAAATGTAGATATATTAGATAAATTATTTGTGTAGTATTGTAATTGTATTTATTAATAATTTTGATTTTACTTAAAAATTTAACTATTTGAAATTTGTAATTTAATGCAATATAAATAATACTTAGATACGTAATATATCTATATGTATACTATGTAGAATTTATCATTATTTTTAAAATGATTACTTTTAATGATTATTAATTTTGATTTTACATATAATTTTACTTCTTTAAACGATTTTAAAATAACTGACGGCAATGTTGCATGATAAATGAGCGCATCTGGGATATAAATCAGGGTGTTGAATTTTTTATTTCGGGCGCAAATGGGCTACAGCCATTCTTAATACCTACATACAGTAGACGTTTGTTTTCGATGGTTAACTTTGAGTGGGGTCTCCGAATAACCCGTGTCACACCCACACGTAAAGAAATATATGTCGATACAAAATATATAAACAACAACGTTGGTGTATAAGTTCTCGGCTGTTTACTGTATAGTGTGTACCTAGTGTTGACTGGTTCCAAAAGGCCCCATCAGCAATCTCTAGGAAGGGCCCCCAAAAGCACTTTTTTGATAAAAGTTTAATCTGATACATTTCTAGTAGGTATACGTCCAAAACTTTCATGCCTTTAAAACATGTTTCTTAAAAAAACATATGTTTTTAGAATCCTTACTAAACTTAGGTAGATATGATCAAAAAAACAATCAATTTTCAAAGCAAAATCAGCGAGTAAGTGGATGTCGCTCTGCTGTACATTAGGCGTCTAACCTTGATGGTATTAAATTTGAATTCAATGATATCATATGATTGTATACGAAAAACGATACCGAGCGGGACGGAATGTCAGTTTAGGATATTTTATATTGTTATTACTTATTATTTATATGGTAGCCGGTAAGTTGAATTAATAATATTCTTAAATTACCTATCAGTGATGCTGGAAAAACATTAAATATACCTATGTAAAATTGGGCTGTCTTGGAACCCATATTACAACAAAATGATAAACGTTATTCTTTGAGTTAGTATGCATTTTTGTCCAAACTTGAACTTAAGTCTGATAACAAAAACCATTGCATGTATATTATTAATCGCCCAAACTACATTGAATAGATTGGGTTGCTCAGATGTTCAAGGCGTGCAATAAAAATGGATTAAAAAAGTTTTCAACTATCAGCTATTGAATAAAAAAATCTTTATTAAAATTGGTTATATTTAGTATTAGAATTTTAGTAGGTAGTAGAGATGCGGCCACAGAATCTCCTTATCGGCCGCGCCATCTCCTTATAGTACGAAATGTTTTCTTCTTAATTAACTTCTGTTATTATTCGATGTGGTTGTCAGGTAAAGTTAGTCATAAAACATAGTACCTATTACGCCAGCTGCTATTTTTATAATAATAATAAGTTTAATGCAACATCAACAACTTTTTGACATCACATTTCCTTTACCTATATGTACAATATTGCACCACCCCCGGTATTAGGCCGGTAAGCAAAGCTTGTGCCAGGGAGAACAGTTCTTAAAAATAATAAATAAATAAGAGAAAAATAATATAATAGAATAAATACAAATATGTAGTATTTAGAGATAAGTCCTAATATATTATGTAGGAATACGGGATGTATGTAGTATCTGCCCGCTGCCGTGACGCGGAATGAAATCAAAACCGTATTATAACCTACCCAAAGTAGTCGAGAAAACACGGAAGTACCTTTTGTTTATCTAAACGTGATAACATCGAAACTGATTGTAGGTACCTGATATCATTGAATTATATGTCAAATAAGATGAAATAATGTAATTATCCGCTAAAAATTGTTTATATTATACTATAATACCTATAATATTTTGTAAATCAATACAATTACCCGAGTGTTTTAGTTTATATTAGAATAAAAAATGTTCAAACATTTTGGAAAAAGCAATATATTGTGTTTATGTAAACGTTATTATGTCAGGTAATACATTTTTTCTTTATATATCTATAATATGTACATAATGCTGTACGGTACGACACTACTAATGCCACTGCTCTGTACTAATACAGTACCTAGCTCATCATTTGAAAACTGCATTACAATTTAAAAACTTAATTTTATTTTAACAGTTTGTAATATTTTACACTGAATGATTTATGTATTTAAATTTTAATAGAAAATGAGTCCCTAATTGACATTGTGAATGTTTTTGTTATTATTAGATTAGTAGAAGTGGGTCAATTAAATGTACCAAAACCTATTGAAAAATATGAAACCGGTCAGTTGTTTTTTCACCGGATATTTGGATACAGAGGAGTGATATTGTTTCCGTGGTTAGCCAGAGTATACGACCGTGATGTTGTCATCAAAACAGAAAAGTAGTACTTAATACTTATTATAAGATATAATTAGATTTGTGCATTTACTAAAAATTGTACGACTAACCAGTAACCACTACGCTATTGTAGTATTACATGATAAGAGGTAAAATAAACTAACTTTTTATTTTTTTTGTTTTAGTGCAGCGGGAAAAGATGTTAAAGGAAAGACACACACGTATTATCAAACGTTGATAGATGAAAGAGATTGTCCATTTATTGTAATTTAATTTAAAATACTTAGAAAAATTAGCATTAACGGCTTATTATTTTTATATTTTTTAGAGGGCTCAGACAGAAGCTGTTACTTTTCTAGGAAATCAGGATACCAGTCGTAGCTTGTATGCGATACCTGGTCTAGATTATGTAGCTCAAGAAGATATACTTCCATACACAGCAACTGAAAAACAACCATTACAACATGAGCTTTTTGATAAATTCCTCATGTATTATCCAAATAAAGGTAAATGATTATTCCAGTATTATTGTTATTATGAGTAAATTTATTTCAAGAACTTGAATTATTGTTTTACTAGACACTGGTAGAGTTAATCTTTCCTTTCAGTTAATGATTTAAAAATATTTTTCAAGTTTATTTTTTAATTTACATCATATAATTAATTATTCATCATATAATCTTGTTTCAATGTAGATCCACCATTTGGGGCTCAAGAAACATTGCGATCGTGGCAAAAAAAAAATCATCCTTGGCTGGAATTGTCGGATGTTCATAAAGAAACTACAGAAAATGTTAGGGTTACAGTAATACCATTCTACATGGGTTATAGAGAATCTCAAACCAATTCTGTGTACTGGGTGAGTGATATCTGAAAATTTTTAATCATATGATTTTTTTAGTAATAATTTGCTGATTAATTTATGTTTAGTGGAGATATTGTATACGATTAGAAAATTTAGGTGAACAAAGCGTTCAACTGAGAGAAAGACATTGGAGAATATTTAGCTTGTCTGGAACATTAGAGACTGTACGTGGAAGAGGTGTTGTGGGCCAAGAACCTCTACTCTCAAAAAAATCACCAGCATTTCAGTATAGCAGTCATGTCAGCTTACAAGCTCCTAGTGGACACATGTGGTTAGTTGTTTATTTTAACTTAATTACAATTATCATTTTATATCAATATATTTTTTACATAAATTACAATAAAACAACATGGCCACATAGGTATCACATACATCTTTTGTTAAGATGACTACACTTGCATGTGGGTGAGCATGATCCGCGACCACTTCTCTCCGCCCGATCATGTTCTCAGTTTTTCCAGCATTTATTTCTAAACCTACTTTTTTGGCTGTATCTGATAATTTTCCCGTTTGCTCAATGAGATTTTCCTTACTTTCCGCCAGTAATACTATGTCGTCTGCGTAGGCCAATACTTCTATTGTGCAACCTTTCAATCACACTCCTTTCTCTTCAACATGGCTCTCCCTGATGACCTTTTTTAACACTATATGAAATAGTATGGGTGACAACGCATCCCCTTGTCTGAAACCAGTTGATACAATATTGCCAACTTTTATTTTGATTTCCGTGTAGGATGTTTGCTTTTACCAGGTTAATTAATTTCTGGTGCAATTTCTGCAAACAAACTGCCTTAGTATATTCAAGAGAGATTCTTTATGTCTCCAATCTTACGTCTTCCTGAAATCGATAAATAATTCATGTACTTCTCTGTCAAACTCCCACAGTTTTTGGAAAATTAGTTTCAAAATAAATATCTAGTCTGTGGTAGATCTATTTTGTCTCAAACCTGCCTGATAATCCTCTAAAATATCTTAAGTCCACGGCTTAATTCTGTTTAGTATACATTTGGATAGAACTTAATAAGTAACGTTTAATAGAGCGATGCCTTTATAAATATCACACAACTGCTTATCTCCCTTTTTGTGTATAGGATATATCAGTGCTGTTTGCCACTCTTCTGGAATTACTTTGTTTTCCCAAACTTCTTTCATTAGTCCAGACAAATAGTCAAGCAAGCTGTTTCCCATACTTTAAGTTTATATAATATACCCTGGATTTAAAATAAGACATGTAATTGATTTTGTTATTTTTAGGGGAACATTTCGAATGGAACGTGAAGATGGACATTTATTTGATTGTCGAATACCTCCATTTTCTCTAGAGAGCAAACCAGATGATAAGGTTACATTTAACACTGTATAAGAACAATTTTAAACGATTATAGTTATTGTATTTATTGAAATTAGTTTTGTTTAAAAAATCCTCAATATTAGTTTCTAGACCGTTAAATGTTGGGTGATCCATTCTTAAGCCACTGGTGACTGTTTCATCTTCTCTGTGTGGACAATCGTCCTGAAGATTGCATACTCATTGCTGAACTATAAATAAAAGTTATTCAAAAACTGAAGAAATAAATAAATAACATAAATATTTGTAAAAATAATTTATTTATACATACATAAATATATAATTTTTTTATTCTTAATTCTGTAAACTGATCACAGTGTGAAAACCAGTAGTTAAATTTGAATACATGTTCATCAGATTTATCGGCATAGTTTTAACTCCATAACAGAATGTGCGGAAAGCTTAGCATTCTTGCCAGTTATCATTATTTAAAATAATTTTAATTTATATGTTTGGTCTGTTTGAGCGGTGATATTGATAAATCAGGTTATTAGCTTAACATAGTTTGGCCACAATTGAATATTTTAAATTATTATAGCTTAAGTTGTTTTAAATTACAAACATATTTATAAGTTTTAACAGAATCTTTTTTGAATAGTAATACCCACTTGATTAAATTGTCAAATTTGGAAACAATGATGTTTTGTGTAGCTCTAGATGACTCCTACATATTTAAGTAGTTTATTTGTGTTTTTCAAGATTGGTCTCTATGCATAAATAAATATTATTATTATTATTTATAAAGTTCATTAATAATGCTGGTTACTGATGATAATTTTATATGATTTTGTCTGTCTCTTTGTGATAGTAATATTAAACTGTTATTACATTTATAAAATATAATGTTAATCACCTAATTCTCATACTATACTTTTATGTGTATAATAAATCATAAATGTATTATTATTTTCAGTTAAAATATTTATCAATCATTGTACATGTATAAAAATGTAAAATACAATCAAGCAACACATTACATAAATAAAAATATTCATTAAACCAATTTTTTTTAGTTTCTGTGGTTCTGTAACAGACAAAAACAATCAATTACTATTAAAGTAATACATTAAGTATTATGTACCTAATTATCTTAATAATTGCGGTTAAGTAAAAAATAACAATTTATTTGCTAAGTCAAAAACATGTTTTGATACAATGATGTATTTATGTATTTTTTTTTGTCTGTCATTACCTTTTGTGACAATAAGATGCATCAATTTTCTAAAACTGCACATTTTAGTATTTTACAGTATGAAAGTGAATCTGGTTAGTGCTTTGAGGGATGGGGAGGTTGTCAAAGGTAATTCCCAGTATTTTCAAAAGTGTCAATAAAAAAAAAAAAATAAAAAAAAACTGTCAACTTTTACGCAAAACTAGTTTTTGACAAAATCGATTTTGTTTTCTTGTAGGAACTCAACAATGAATAACCTTAAATAATTTACATTTTCACCAAGTGTTTATGTAACAATTTTCTTCACATTGTGAATGTGCTATTTAGAGGCATGAGAAATTTTTTTTTAATTACCAATAAATAATTTTTACCTGATCAAAAAACTTGAAAATTTAATAAAAGTTTTTCGTAAAATAATTGTTGTTATAAAATAAAAAAAAGGAAGAATTTTGATAAAATTCAGTAAAATCAGGAATTTGTGTTCCAATGTTATTTGTGTTAACATGGTAGTAACATATTATTCATTTATTGTGTCCTATTATTAGAAAGTACCTTCTTTAATAAGTAACCTATTAATTTAATAGTAAATTTTGTTTTTAATCAAATTTACTGTTCTATGTATTCAAGGGTAAAGCACATGTAAATTATAAAAAACAATCATATTTCAAGTTTACTAATTATTACTAACAAAATAACGAAATGCAATGGGTAATTTTGTTATAATCTTTGTTGATGGACAATGAGACCCGAATATAGGTCGTCAAAAGGGAAAGCAGTTAAAGTATTGATCTAAGCAACAAAAACAAATATCTATGGTTGCTACGTAAGTAACCATACAAGTTCCTACCTGGCTACCTACTGCCTGTAAAATATGAAACAACATTAATTGTACCAAAGTGTCCTTTTAATGTTTGAACTAGAAAAATGGACATTTATTCCAAAAATCATAAAACAAATGTGTTCAAATAATTCTATTAGAACAACTGTAGGTACCTACAATTTGAAAATTTTTATCCTGGAATAAGTTGAATTTGAAAAAAAACGGTGGCGATCTGTCTTGGAAGATCTATGACCTTCTAAAGATCTTATGGCATAATTCTAGTTTAGCAACCTATCAATTTTTTTATTTTTATAATGTGTGTTTTTGCATGCTTTAGAGGAAAGTAAAAAAAAGTCAGACAAACTTCGTTTTGAAGTTCTCAGTGAAAATGGTTACGCCTCGGAGCGTAACGACGAGTGCCGATACACGCGTTATCACTGAGCAAGAAAAATTATTTTTAAAACAATTATAAATGCAGTACTTATTGTAAGTACTTGCAAAGTTGCAACTGTAGCATATATTATAGCAACATATTGTACCTACTTGCAACTAGTATCATGATCACAACTTTTTATAAGTATTAACTATTATTTATTAATACATTTCCAAGATTTTGGACCTACGAGTATATAGCTTAAAAATTGCATTGATAGTTATAAAAAAAAAATTAAATATTTGGCATATGGGCACTGCTCTGCAGGTAGGTGGCGAGCGGGTCACTGATATATTATATAAAATCATTGTAGGTGTACGAAAAACTATTCTAAGCGAAGACTATATTAGGTAGGTACCTACTTAAGATATTGTTCTTATTAAAAAAGTAATTTATTTTTCTAATATTAATACAATAGGTTGAATTAATTTTTTCTCAAAACATGACATTTGAAAATTTCATCTCTATCATCGTAGTATAGACGCGTGGATAGTTCTATACTTCTATTGTTATTAGATCTTTATAATATATTGTATGCGTATTTTTTCAAATTTAGAAAGTGTTTCTAAAGTTCTATGCTAGCACCTACATAAAATAAAATCAACAATACGATTTAATAATAATAATGTTATTTTGTGATAGAAACATTTTAAACTGATAACAAATTTCCCATTGATTTGATTTTAGATGATAAGAAATCAAAATTATAAACACGGTCTAAAATCTAAATTTAAAAAAATACGAATACAAGAACAAAATGTAAAATATAAATCCTAAGATAAAATACTGCTTTTGAACTCTTTACTTAAGTTGTATTAAATCAATTTATTTCATTAGTTAATTATGTACGGCTGATTATTAAACCAAAAAAAAAAATGATAAGTTTACTATTGATTGAATTATTTGGACAATTTAATGAATTATTAACAATTGTCTGCAATTATTAATATCCATCACTCGAATCAAAATCAAAATGAGTACTAAAATCGAATTTACCATAAAGCAAAAGACCGCTTTTGATCCCAAATGGCTTGCAATAGAACTTCATGAGGCATTGGATGAAAACCAACTTACAAATTATTGGAACGAGATGATAGAAGATTCTGAACTGATCCCTGTGGATAATAACAATTTATTGCATTCAAAAAAAGGTTTAATTACACACAGCAATTTAATGTATACATTTTGATTAAAAATAAACATTTTTTTCTTTTAGTAGAACCATCTGGACGATATTATATTGGTCTTTGGGCAGTAAACTGCCCATGCAAAGATGACCCATCTGACAAGGTATGTAATTGTGTTTCTTGTAAATCCGATGATGTCAGTGAAACACTTAAGTCCAAACAAATGTTTGAATCTCTAATGTGGAAACCTAATTGTAGTAAGTTATTCTAATATATATATATATATATGAATATTACAATATGATGTGCCTGGACTTTGATTTAATATCTTTTGTTTAGATAAAGATGATGTAAAATCGTTGATATCTGTATTTGCGGCCGAACAAAGGAAACTATGTGAAGATATATGTTACTCAACATTATTTTTTAATCGAACACAACTTAGGATGGCAATTGCTTCTCGTTACTTTGGTGCTTTTTATAGAGATTCTTTTTTTCAAACTCATTCAAATAATCAAACACAATCAATAATGACACACCAACGTTGTAAAAATTCTATTAAAATAAAAAAGTAAATAGTATTATAACAATGTTTATTTTTGTTTATTAATATAATTAATTGTTTTTACATTTGTTAGCAATACTAATGATGATGAGAAAATGTCTTTATTTGCTAAAATTGGTACCCAGACGGCATTAAACTTCTCATTTGGATTTCTAGTCAGCACTTGGCGATCAGGCAATAATTCTGATCTATGCACGCAAATGCTTAAAGACTCACTAGAAGCACTGCAATGTATTCCAGAAGATTACCTTATTGATGAAAGCAATGTTCCTACTTTCTGGATTGAAACTCTAGAAAGATCATCAAAGTTCCTATTTCAAGTAGTCAATGGGTACTATACAATTTATATATTTTTAATCTTTAAATATTATTTTAATACAAATTTTATATTTCATTTTTAGAAATATTAATGTATCCGAAAAAGAAAGTATTATTGTAAATCACATTCCAAATACTGACAGACAATTCGCTTTATGTCTTTCATTAGAACTAGGGCTACAAAAAAAGTCACTTAGTCAAATATTACAATGTGTACTAATGTTTTTTGAATTGGGATTACACTGTGACAAGTAATTCTTATTTTTATCTATTTATATTTTGAATAATATAACATACATTTTTTAATTTTTAGGATTTCCAGTAGGCATTTACATAATTTGTTAACAATAACACTCCGTCGCTTAAATTGGGTAGTATCTAGAATTCAAAACAATTTCAACAATGATGTGAATCATTCAAATAAAGTATTCTGTTTTTTTTATAGTAACTTAACTATACTATACTAATATATATCTATTATACTCTTTAAGGATAATGTGACAAAAAGTTTTTTAAGATTTAACGGTGATGCTGATAATCCTGAAGCTACTGGCATGAAACAAACAGCTGTAATGATTTTAGCATTTTTAGACCAAATAGCTGTCACTTACTTAACGCTTCAAGTAATAAAAACTATACTATTTTAATTAAAATTGATGAGTAAAATAAATTTTTTTTTAAATAATAGCAAAAAGTGCATGAAATTAAGAATAAAAAGAATATAGTACAGTATTGGGGTAAACAATTTTATCCTGAAACCAAAAAAAAAGTAATATTAACCCTTGAGCGTCTGCATGTTGAGTCTGTGGTGTGTTCAAGAAACGAAATATTGGTGGTAACGAGCAGTGGAACTTTACATTTTATTAGTTATTCAATTGACTCGTTGGTAATTTGAGTTTGTATATTTAATTTTTAATATTGTTTCAAATAATTCAAAAACCTACAATTATATGATTAGAATTTTGAAGAAAAACAATTGATGAATGTACCTATGAAATCCGTTGATGTTTATGATGAAACCTACTTGGCAGTTACTCAAAAAGGAGAAGTGTATTCTTGGGGTGTAAATGAATTTGGCGCTTTAGGCCATGGTCAAAAATATTCTTCTTTTCCTACTCCAGAACTAATTGTAGCATTTTCTAAAGTTATAGTTGTTATGGTTTCATGTGGAAAAGATTTCTGGTAACTATTATTTAACTATGTGAATATTGACTTTTTTTATGAACTTATAAATGTTATGGGTTATATTAAAAAATATTATATTTT